GTGGTGGTGGTGGTGGTGGTGGTGGTGATCATCTCAGCAGTCGTCAAAAGGGTGTGCAATTTAACCTCGAACTCGCCATCTAGTTTGAAATCCAAAAAACTGAACTGCCGCATTACACTCTGTCGACTGCGATCGGAGCTACTCAACAATACGTAGAAGCGCAGTTCACCGACCCAGACTTACAGATAATGGCAACAACTATACGCGGAGTAAACCGTCTTATTATCGCTGCTCGCTGTCAGTAACGCATCTCTGTTTTGCACACTATTCTATTCATTGCTTCGAATACTCCCTTCTAAATGTAGTTCTTGAAAGAAACGCCGGTAAATGGACTGAACCCAATCATAACTCCGTGATATGCCAGGATTTGTCGGGAGTGGTGACTCTGCAATAATTAGCAGACTGGGGCGTAGGTAAACTCAATTTTCAAACGTCCATGTGAGCAATATTAGAAATATTGATGACTGTCCAAAAAGTAGGTATTCCTCATTTGAAGTCAAATTAAACTGTTTTCTTGCTCCTGCTTATAACTCCTTCATGGGCCCTCGTCGTGATTATGAGATTGCTGCGTAAGCCGATTTGCGTTTGATTTTTTGCCTCAATAATTTTTTCAAAGTTTTATTTTCTGTCATACCAAACTTGAGGGAATTTAACAATATTCGGTCATAGGAAACTGGCTGGCATGTTTAACTCCGACAGAGGTAGTTGATAAGATGAACATGCGTGAAATGCTAATTTGCAGACACAGAAAACTGCACGAACTGTTGATAGGCGCGCAGACGAAATATAGAATTCCGTTACCCATAGCATGAAAACTGCTCAAAAATGCTGCGCAAAATTTAAATTCATCTGTCTTTTACTTCGCGGTGTGTTTTGAAAAAATGGCCCTGATGGATTTCGTGCACGTAATCTTGTTCCTCCAGGAGATATGAGTAAACGCCAACAACGCTTACCTCGTTAAGGCCGTCAAACACGAAAATCGGATCAACTTCACATTTTCTCAAAGTCGTCAAAAATCGCTCAACGGCAGCATCATACTGAAGGTATTCGCCATTAAATTGGCTCAAAAGTACGGCGTCGGCATACAGGGAGTAGGCAATATTTGGGCCGTCAACAACAATCGCAGTTTTATGGAGCCTGATCGTTTTGAAATTTTCGGGTTTGCTGTTTAAAAACGTATGAAGCAGAGGTATCCCCATCAGCGCAAACAGCACAGTGTCGAACCAAACCGGAGCAAGCACAGATTGTCAACTGACTTTCATTTTAACCATGTGCGGTACACTAGTCCATTTCTTGCGATCGCGTATAACCCCTCCAATCAAAATCCGAGGTTAAATATGAGAACCTGGCACTTATCACTAACAGAAGAGTCAAGAAATGCATCGAGGCATGCTGGACCGAGCCAGCGTCTGAATCGAGTTTTATGGCGAAATCCAATTATGTTGGTAAGTCAAATAACTACAAAGTCAATGAAAAACGAACCACTGATTAATGAGTCTTTACCGTATCTGCAACGCACAGTGAAAAAGAGGGCCATACATGAAGCAAAAGGGGTTCGTTTTCACTAATAATAAGAACGGAAAGCGATTTTGCGTTCAGATACACGCTCCGGCATGCAATTATTATAGTCCACAGTTACAGCTCGGGAAAAAAGCGATGGAATTAATAAAAACGTCTGCAATTGTTTGGGACTATGGGCTGAGTTCTTCAGGAAAGAACCATGACTTCCAGCTCATAAAATTAAGTCCAGTGTGCACACGACCCTTGGGTCAAAATATGCCAAGGCGTCCCGACGCACTTCGTGGTCTCCATCCTGTTCTTCAGTAGACTGTTGATTTAGCACCTTCTACCCCCCCCCCCCAACAGACGGGCCACGTGGTAGATATGCTGGGCCAACACGGGGCCAAATCGGATTCTGGCATGCTAATCGGATTTGCGCGCCACAACAAATGCCAACATTTCGGGGTGCGGTGGCAGGCCCTGTTGCCGACAGACGCTGATCACACCGGGACCCCTGCCGCCCCCCCCCCCCCATTGTTGCTGTTGATTAAAAATCTGATTATTTGTTGTGTGTACCAGGAGATATGGAGTGGGCGCCAAGGTGCGGGCTCGACCGCGCCATCTACCTTCGCCGTCCCTCGCATCTGGTCGTCTTGATTCTGTCTTGACACCGGGTCCAGGTGGGGGCAGGAGAGAGTACAGTAGGTTTTGTGCAAGTCTACTATTAATATGAACTAATTCACGCATAAATCACCGCCCTTGCTCTCATTTTGATGTGGAGCACTCGGTGGACGTCGTCAACAACGACAGTCGAACTCTCGATCTATGACCTGCAATAAAATCAGCAAAACAGCGCCTATCGGTTTTGTAGCGGCTGAGCGGTGGTGGTGTATGCTCAATACGCCAAACTTCAGGCCATATCCCAAGTTGTTATAAGCGGGACGCCAGTTGGAGAAGAAGATGATTTATTTATTTATTCAGCACAGAATAGTGAAGGGAAGTTGGCAACCGGACGAGGGTGCGTCCGGCGCCGCGGAGGCGGCGTCCGCGAGAGCGATGAGCCGTGTGTCGCCGAAGATCGCCGCTGCAAAAGTGTCGTGGCAGATTGTTTACGCAGTGGTCTGGACTG